GTTCATTGTGGAGAATTTTTTTTGCCTTTGTTTATTTACATGCCTGCTCGCTCTGAGACCGGCGTTAACCCAGTTTATGCACAAATGTCGATACAAAGATGTATTTTTGCACTCTCAAAAACACCCGTAAAAGCGAAGCCGTAGCAGCAGCAGTTTTGTCTGTCTGGCCCTTGTCTGGCTCAGCAGTAGTCTCCACTCCTCTCTCGCGGCACGCTCATTCACACACTCTCTTGCATGACTGACCAAATGCACAAACAGGACCTTCGCCTTGACTGGCTCACGCACACAAAGCAATGCTTACTCACTCAGCAACTGTTCTAGTAAAACAAGATGGATGGAAGTCAAGACAGGATTGAAATGATGAATGTCGCTTCTAATTCATATTCTGTGATACTGTGGAATGGATTTGTTTAAAAAGTCATTATTGAATAATGGTGAAGTGTAAATATTTTGTTATAAATTGTGTCGTCACCATGAGACATGTTTGCAAGCAAAGAAGTTGTCTGAGAATGCTGTTGGAGCCGTCTCTGCCTGTCAAGAGGATACATCTGTGACCAGCTGTCTGTACTGAGTGTTATGTCTATAGTTGGTTCTCTCTGGTCCACTGCTTAAGCACAAAAAGGAAGACCAGGCTGACCCACTCATTGTTTTGCCTCTTTTAGGAGGCTAGCAGCTAATTGTGGCTCAATGAGGCATTGCTGTTTTGTATGGTCAGACAAAGTGCAAACCAAATAATTGTCTGGTCGGACATGTTTCCCATTGGACTACTCCTTTGATGTGTAGGCCTGACTTTGGTCGTTTAACATTAGTCTATTTGAAGCTTCTGTCTTCTGTCTTTTAACATGAATGATTAATGCTTGTCTTAAGATGTAACTAGTTCTGTTTGACTGTTTTTAAAAGGTTTTGAATCTCGATATTTCTCCACTTTTCAGTAGCTGCCAACATGACACATTTGTCAAAGTGATCAGAGCAGGGCATATGTGTGTGGGTGTGCGCACAAGAAATATCCCAGTTTCTACTTTCGTCTATTCAACCAACACCTGCATGAACCATCATATTCTATGTGAGAGGGAAAGGGCAAAAACATGCAATTATTTACTCAAGGTGCTACGTCTGTTATATAGGATATACAGGATTTAGTCTAATTTGTATATATTTGCACACTGTGGTCAATAGTTTTAGGTAAATCTGCATTTCTGATTTGCTAGAATTAAATAATCATTTTCATTATTTTATTTTATATATTGGCATTATTTTACAAAAAATATTCCTCAATAATTTAATAATAATTTGTTTTTTAAATATATATATTATTTGTGACACTTTGAAAAAAACAAAAACAAAACACCACAACTATCCACTCAGTAAAATAATGAGGAATTGACATTTACTAACTTTATTTATTAAGTTTGTGTCCATACAATGACTGATAAAGGATTACTTTCACACAGATCATACAATGCACTGCAGTATTATTGATTGTGAAAATGTTGATTTCCTTTAAGAATTTAAAATAAAAATATTCATTATAACCCACTGCAACGGCAAAACAACATGTTGTAGAATTACATAGACTATCAGTGTACTTCTTACGGCCCTCATGGGAGCCATCTTTGACATGGGGCCCCGACAATACAAAGCCCATTCGCTGCTTTTCCAAGTGGAAAATGGACGAAGAGCGGGAGGAGGTTACGGGACTTGGGCGGAAACAGAGGAAAAGGAAGCAACAATTAGGATTTGCCTTTCTCTGTAACATTCATACAATGAATCACAAGATGAGCCTGTCTCCTGCTAAAAGCAAGCTCATAGTTAGAATATCAAGTTATATGCGTAACTGCAGTGCCTGCATCATTGGTGTCATTTTTACACCTAACACTAACCCCATGGTTATAACGTATGAACGGAACGGAAAACAAGATTGCAGGTTGATGCTGTGTGTCCATTTATGCTTTACACAAATCAATAAGTCATTTAAGGTCATCAGAAAGCACCGCTGCCACAGAACAGCTTCATTTGTCAGAGCGTGTTAAGAGGAAAGCTCCAAGACACAGCTTGCGGTAGTGTTGTAATAGTTTCTGCTCAAATCGTTTTTGCTGATCCAAAATGAGTCACTTGCAGAAACATTTCCAACTTTCATTTAAAGGGACTGTATGTAAGGTGCACTCATAGTGGTCTAATAAAGTAACACAATTACATGTACCGGTAGTACATTTTATCACTATTGTTTGCTACTTTTAGAATGATGTATTTCTTTGTTCTGAGCCAAACAAATAAATACATGGCAACAATCACATTTTTGTTGTACAAATTGTACAAACTCTGTGTGTTACGTATACTTATATTATGTACGTGGTTTCATTTATTCAAATGTGTGGTGCTAGTCTTTGTTTGTGAATTTTACATTAGAACAAACTGGCAACCCAAATCAGCCTCTTTCTGCTCTGCGTTTACATACATATTAGCAGCGTCATAGAATGCGTCGGTCATTCACTCACTCACCAGACTCATTGCAGGGAATATGGGAGAAGTGCCTTGCCCCAATCTGGCACCTGGTGTTCCAGAGGTCTTCCATCACAGTATTAACCAGTGCCCTGTCCTGCTTAGCGTCTGAGGTCTGACGTCCACGTGCAGGTGGTACCAGATCAGTGCTATGAACATCAATTCATATGTCCGCTGTTTTCCAATGTATTGTGTTAATTTTGACATGTTTTCTTTGTTCATTTCAGGGGTTTATTCTAACATAAATACCTCTGGTCCACTGTTGCTTTTGGCAAATCTAGAAACAAGCCGTAACAAACAACAGCTGAGTGACTTAACGTGTATTATCTCATGTCACCTGTGAGTGAACAGCTCTTGGCACTGTCGCTCTGAACTGGCTCGCCCTCCACAAAAGTTAAACCTGTTTACAAAGAACTAAGAAGCAACAACAACAACAACAACAACAACAACAACCACAGCTGCAGCAGCCAGCAAAGCAAAATGTTTATTATTAATCTATTTTTTTTTATTTGAATGCAATAGTCAAGATCCAGATCAAATCTAACTTTGTGAAGATACATAAGGGAGGACATTTCAATGACTTCCTTGTCGGAGAGCTTAAGTGTGTCCGTCTTCCTTTCCTCATTATATATTTGCGTCGGTCAGCAGGATGAGAGAATGATTCAATAGATTTTGGATGGACTCATTTCTGCCACCATTCACTCGCCTTTTTTAGCCTGCCAATTTTGTGCTCTTATCCTCCCATCATAAACCAGCTAATCCTGTATGGTTAAGGATCCTTTTGCACATGCTTTTCAGACTGGGACAAGTCTAAGAAAGTCCACGCAGGATATGGGTTGTTAACTGTAGTTATGTGCATTGAGAATGGAGGGGGGGTAGTGGGTATTGGCCACTGGCACAGAAACAGTGCAAGATGCTGAGTGGATGGAACATGGAGGAAGCACGCAGGTTTGTCTGTACCATGTCTTTGGAGCTGGCCAATAGCGGCACATATTGGATGCATTACAGATTAGGACAGACACACACACACGAACACACGTGTGTGTGTGTGTCTGTGCGGGTGTGCGGGTGTATGTGTGTTCTTATGCATGCGTTTGTGTGTGCATGTGTCCATGTTTGTGTGTGTGCAGATGTATGTCCATGTGTGTGTGTGCGTATGTGTGCTCTAATGTATGTTTGTGTGTGCATGTGTGCACCATGCACGCAAAGCTCTAGTTTCAGTTTCCATTATCACAGCTACTGTTAAATGCAGAATGATGTTGGTGCATTTTTTCACGTCTTTGCGGCAGCCTGAGGAGGATGTTGTTGAGGAAGTGATTATTCTGGTTACACTTCCCTCCTACTGGCCGGGCGCTAGAACTACATCATTATCCTTAGAAGACGGAGCCTGGTCGTTTTTGCACATTGCTTTGCAGCGTCTCTGCAGTGTCTCCGTCTAAACGGGGCCTTAGTTAAACCTTATTTGAGATTGAAAATCTCCTATTGTAGACTACTCTGCTAAAGAGGCAGACAATTCATCATCCTGCATCTATCGCAGGAGCACTCAGACAATCAAAATATGACTTCACACCAGCAGGTAATTATAAACCTAATGTACACTTGGAGAACACCTACCCGCCAACACCATGGATCATCTTGAAATGTTATTGAGGTCCTCCTACCAATGTACTGATTTCATAACACTTGAAGCAACTGTGGTTAAAGCTCTAACTCATAATTCTAACATATGCAGAAGCCAGTACTTTTCCCTTGTTTTGGTTATCTCAAGGTTGAAGCTACAAGCACACTGTGGCAGCTGCTGATTGGAGAACTCCATTCCTTCCTGCTGTATATTATCACTTGCAGTCTGTAAAATCTTTTGTTCGTGTTTGTGCTGTCTACCAACGACAATAAAACATGTCTTCTGTCTGAATTAAAGACACGATCCCAGACTTTGTCATCTTCTTCAACATCTCAACAACAGCAGCAGCAGCCAGCAAACCAAAATGTTTATAATCTATTTTTGCATTGAACGCAATAGTCAAGATCCAGATCAAATCTAACTTTGTGAAGATACTAAAGGGAGGACATTTCAATGACTTCCTTGTCAGAGAGCTAAAGTGTAACCATCTTCCTTTCCTTATTATATGTTTGTGTCAGTCAGCAGGGTGAGAGAAGGATTCAATAGATTTTGGATGGACTCCACATGGACTCCACATTTTAGTTTAATCTGTCAAGTAGTTTTTGTGCATTCCTGCCTCCAGATTGGCTCACAAAGTGTAGAGTACAATTACAATACCCTCCCTGGTGGCTGCGAAATAATGAAGAATAAAAAAATACAGTATACTATAATTACATATGATCACTTTAATGCTTAAACTGTGACCACATCATATTGGAGAAAAGCCCAAGCTCTGCCCTGTACGTCAAAAAAGAAATAGATATAGAGCTTAACCATCTGGCCGAGCAGCAGTCCTCTATGGTGCGTCAGCAGCTCCTGTGCTGTGCTCGGTGATACTAAGATGAGCACTCCTGGTTGTGGTGGTTTTGGGGCGATGCATCTTCATGTGTGCCTGCTGCACAGATGGCACCGGGAGAGGAGGCCCAGTGATGGAGAGAGCTGCCTTGGGCTCCAGCGGCTCTTCTGTCCCTCATGCGCTCTCTTCATGGGCATCTGTAGAGGCTACTTGAGCCACAGAGCCATGGATGAACAGCAGGTCTATCAGCCTCACGTCCTGGAAGGGTCTCCCATGGTAACCAGGATAGGCCAGGGGTCAGACAAAGCACAGTCCGAATGCCCTCAAGTACCAAAGATCATGATGTTGAGCAGTATGGCACAAATCGGTCTCATCCTGAATGAGAGTGTCTTTGACAAATTAACTGAAATTGTACATTGTTATAGTCAAAAATTAGAGACTTTAGACAGGATCCTTACGCACCAAAGTAACCTGGAAGTTTTTTGTACTTATTTTTTACAGCTTTTTAAAAAAGAGAGGGATGCCAATTCAGAGGTGTCAGCTCGTCCAAACAACCTAAAAGTCTGATCGCTTGATCAGTATGTCTCGCTTTTATGAAGGCCGGATTCCACATGTTTGTTACTAGTTGTACATATACAACTATTCATGAATGTGTTTAACCAAGTATTGGATTGAAGTAAGTGGCCACAGTCCTTGATTAAGGGCTGCTCATATGGACCATGATACTTTGAAGAAGATGAGATGGATTGTGCTGTATACGGATCACAGCAGTCCGAACGGGAACACCATATTTAACAACATGGCTTCACGTGGCTCTTTAAGCAGAAGAGTCAAGATACTTTAAACTCTCTTTATGCGTCTCTGTTTTTGAAGTCTAGCGCTCACATCTTCCATCATTCCTACATCATTTGAAGTAGCCACATACACAGTAAATGAGGCTTCTTCTTCCTATAAATTAATTTTTTTCTTGTACATGTTATAAGACTTTGAGGTCACCATATTCTTCAAGCTAAAAGCTTGAACACACATCTCCTTGAACATGTTGTATATACTAGAAATAATGTTCAAGGTATCTTTATTATCCCCGAGGCAGCAGCAGAAATTTACTCAATGTATCTCAATTATATTAATTAATCCTGCTTTGTAACAAAATTATGTAACAAAAAGGTAATCGTGAACTATGTTTTCTAAATGTATAAAAATATCTCTATTATAGATTACCATTCATGATTCGGTTGCCTGACATTATTTTGACTTCAAACGGACCATGGACCAATGATCAGAAAGGGCGATGGCTGTTTTAAAGATTTACAAGTATATTTCACTTTTACGACTCATTACAATATTCCAATCCTTCAGTCGGAAATATTAACTAGTCATGACAAAATGCTATCGAATTAAATAATGAAGAGGTAATAAAAGTAAACTTGGCTGGTAGAATAAAGATTAAATGCATGTTGTCCTAAAATGTTATCATTCAAATGCAAACTTGCTTTTTTTGATAATTTCTGCTGTGCGGCGACTGTCCCATCTATCATGGTTCACTATATGCACCAAGAGAATGTTTAAAGCTACATTATAATCCTTCTTTTTAATCACAACGTTTTATTTATTTCTCCAAAAAAATCCCATGCCTTCTGCATCAACCAACTGTTAATGCGCTCCCACCAATTGTTCAAAATTATGTATATCATGGTTGCCACTTAGCCGGACCGTTTTGGAGCTTGGAAGAATACGTGGGCATAATGGGTGGAGAGGCTTCGCAAGCTGACACCTTTGGCTCATGTTTCCACAGAACTATGAGATTCGTTTTGCAAAAGATCATTATTAGAAATGTATCTTCTATATCTAGTCTTTTGGGCCAGCTGATACATCTGTATAATAACATAAATCAGAAAACAGCTTGCTACACATAAACACAAATTTAATGCAAGAAAAAAGACAGAACTATGTAGTTATTAGAATTAAGATGGAGAGATCCTTTACTTGTCCCACAAATTTCAGTGTTGCATTACAAGTTACAGAACAGTAGAAAAGATGAGCACACAACACATGGTGAGATTTAAGGGAGGCACCTCAGTACTTAAAAAACAGCATAATAAAAAAATAAAGTATAAAACTTATACACCTATGTTTATATTCATATTTACTGAATATGGGTAAATATGTAAAAGTTAAAAATATATTTGTCAAATAAAACCTCAAACGTTTTGTTAAAGATGCTCAAGGTGATAGTTGTAGAATTTGGCAATGCTTTTCTTATGACCTTCTTCATGTTGTTATGAACCAGGGATAGTTATACAGAGTTTTATTTAAAAACCTTCTTCATAAATGTTTAGTTGTGTTCATGTTGTCGTCAGTGTTAGATTACTATAGTTTCCTCTACTCAGGCAATTGTACAGTGAGAAGTATTTACCGTGACATGTTTGGGCTGCTAACTGCCGGCATCCTCCAAACTGTTACTATTCTGGACTGGACAGAGACGAGGCACGAGCCAAAGGAAGTTCAAACACAGGATCAAAGACACCATCGAAAATCAGGCAGCAAGATATCTGACGAGCTACTGAACATGTCAAGGTCACTATACATATTTACATATAGTGAGTAAGTCATCTTTATTTATATAGCGCCTTTCACAGACCAGAGTCACAAAGCGCTTTACACGGTGACCACAGAGATGGGAGCGAGATCACAGGACAGACCTATTGTATACGTTTTTAGTGGTAAGGGAAACCGTAGCACCTGGAGGAAACTGACACAGACACAGGGAGAACAGGCAAACTCCACACAGAAAGGTCCTGTCTGAGGTGGTGTTGAACCCAGGAATAATATTGTATGATGTTTTTATCACGGTTTATTTCTAGGTTGTGACAGTGACTCAACCACTCTCACAAAGCTATACATATTCAAAGTTAGTTATATGATGAGTATGTAAACATTCTTCGACAAGTATGCAGCGAATATATTTAAAACTATACAAGTCACAAACATGCCTTTATTTCAACATGCTATGACCCAGTCCTATACAATCTATTGTCGAGAAATGACAGCGGCGCTTGTAAGCTTGTACCATGTGTCAGGAATGAAGCAGACAGAGACGGATCGTGGTGCGCCAAACTCTGGAAGTTTATTTATGTTTCTCTCAAGTTCCAGTGGTTTCAATTGTTTCTTTCTCTCAGACAGAATAAAGGCAGTACACAGTTTATATAGTCATTGTCACGTCACACATTGAAAGACGTACGTGTCACACAGAGACAGAGCACATCACAGTCAAAACATGGAGTCATCATCAGAGTCCTTGTACAGTCCTGCACGTAGGCCATATTGCTATCTAATACTAACACATGGTTTATTTTGGAGTCCCTTCAGATCAAAGTAAAGGAGACAGGGCTTTTTATATGATTTGTAACAACGTGGCCAGAACAGGGACGTCATCACTGAGATATAAACGACTGATGCTTAAGATATAGATACAGTAGTGACAATCTGGTCAGAACAAATGGGTTCATTTCTTCAGATAATAGTATTTAGCAGTAATACAGTATGATGGGTCCACAGTACAGAATATGCTGGTCAGATATCACACTATATCAATGCTTCTAGTTTACCATGTCCAGATACCAGGTACCCATGGGTTTCAGCTGAATGTTTCCTACGACATTTCTCCATTTAACATTAAAATAGATTATGGAGAACGTCCTACATCCCCATAATTCTGAAACCCATTCATACACGTACCAGTGGCAGTATAAAGAACAGCATTCTTGACAGATGAACATGCCGTGCTTATGGAGTCCCATCTAAGAGGTTGAGTGATGCTTACCTGTGGCTTGTCATCTGATGCGGTCCTGTAAGCAGTTTATTCAGACCCTTTTCACCTCTCTTAACAGGAAGCTGTATCCCACAATTGGATTACGGCTAATTAAATACTCCAGACTTGTAAAGTCAACAGACCCTATTGTCGTTCCCCTCCTCCACTTAAGACAAACAACCTCACTTGACACAAACGCTGGCTTTACTGTTGCATGTATACCAAGAGGCACATTCACACTGAGCAACAACTCCAGTGGGCCTCTTCCTTAAACACTGAGTGACACGGGCTGGCAGGTCCAAACGTCTCACCATTCAACCTGCCTCACCAGATAGTCTTTATGCAGAGCCCTGTTAAGTGTGACCAAATATATCAATTTAAGTAATTTAGACTGCAATAAAACCAAACTGTTTTATAACCTGTTGATTTGAGTCAGATGAAGAAGACTATAAAACTACAGCCAAGTCACACGAGGACAATACTTTTCATAATGACAACGTAACAAGCCGTTTAATAAGAGTGACGCTCTTACCACCTTTTACTTTTACTTATTGTTTATATTCTAGCAATATCCAACGTTGATTTTGGTATCTGGAATTGTCAATGAACTTACACAGAATGACACGTTTGTAAAAATAGCATTTAGGCTGTGAATATTTTGAGAGCATTACAAATAGGCGGTATTGATGTATGATAATCCGTGTGGCAGTAAACGGGCCTCTGCTTGTGCCTGTTGGGGGATGCTGATGGTCCTGCTGAGTCCTTTGTCACCCCTGCTAATTGAGTGATCCTGCTGACCTTGTCGTTCAGCCTCAAACATGTCACTGAGAGCGGGTGTCATAAGCAGACGTCTGGCTGTGTGGCTGGTGCTGCGAGGCATAGGGACACTGGTTACTCTGGTGTGAGAATGATTTGTGTCAATCTGAAAAACAGAAGATAAATCAATGTATGCAATATTGTTTGTATTTTTTATTATAGTTGCAGTTACAGATATTGCTGACAAGCTTCATATTCTCCTAGGAATGGTAGAACTAGGTTAAAAATGTGCCTGCTCCAAACATATTAGAAAAACACATGTCAGATGCTAGCAGGGCAATATCATGCCTCATCTTCTGGTTTTTCATTAAGTCTGCTTTAACAGCTGCACTTGTACATCTCACTCACTTGTGGCAGGCATCACATGCCAAGAGGAATTACTCATATTTTTATGCATGTCTTTGGAACATCTTTCAATGAACATGTGACACTCTAGAGATAAGTGTTTTTGTGTTAACAAAATGGAAATCTTAATTTTGCTAAGCTAATTATAGCTTGTAGCACGTTGCTAAGCAACCTAATGACAGGAGACAGCGGGGAGTCAAGAATCTAACCTTTGGCTGGATGAAGCCAAGAGGTGACATTTCCTTCATATCAGTGTCTTTGATGCAGTAGCAACTTTGCTTACAGTATGCAGTTGAACACATTTATATATAATAGAAAAAGGAAAAAAACATTTTTCTAAATGTATATTTTAAAAGGAACTATTTTGCAGGGCTTTATTGCATTGAAATGTCACATACATGGACCTGTGAGTCACTGCTCCTTAAGTGCACTTATGCAGTCATGGCGATTTGAGAGTGCGAAACTGTACACAACACGGAAAGATGAACACAAAGGGAAATAACAGGCTGACAGTCTGTTGTCACTCTATTGTATCATTAAGATGTTTAATAAACATACAAGCTCCTGGTTGTTTTTTTAGCAATGCTCAGTGTTATTCATTATTATTATTAAGGTTTGCACACATCTGTATGAAAATGTTTTTGATGTTCTGGTTTCTTTTCTTCTATTGAGGGGCGGCGGTTGGGGGATCCATGGCTGAGGGCCAAAATAGTTTTGAAGTATTTGTGAAAAGACTCTTCTTAATCCGTTTTATTTGCTCTGCTACCTCTGAACCATTTGTCCATGCAGGGCTCCCAAACCCACAGCCATCCTGAGGATTTAGTGTGGAGCAGAGGTGCAAGGCCTACAGACAGTTAAAAAAAAGCCATCTGGCCGGGGGATGCATGAGGTGGGGGTCTGGGAGGAGAAGTCGTGCTGAGCAATCAAAATGACGGACAGCAGTGAGAAGTGTTTTGCGGGCTCCCACATACATGCAAAGTAGATCTGACCTGTGAGCTTTCACAGCTCCCTCCGGTCTGCAGGTAAACAGTGAGGCTGGAGGTATGTGGCCCTTCCCCAGCGCAGTGACCGTGTGTGTGTTTGTCCATGCTAATGCTGTGTACGTTGGCAATGCCAAGAGTGTGGACTTTTGTGTGTTTGTGCCCATGTCAGTGCCTTGCTTATCTATGTTCAACAAGTGATTCTGCCAACTTTACTTGTGTAGTCATGTTGTATTTTTATGTTTATGTTGTTACTGGAGCTGTAGGGATTAGCAGGTGAAACAAACATCATCCATTTTACATGAATCATCAAAGAAGCCTTTTTTGATTCGACACAGACTTCATTCTAAGGACGCTGTGAAATGGACGCACAATTGTCCCTCCTTGCTCTGAGCAAATATTATAATCCTATTCTCTTATGCTTTCCATCTTGCCCTCTCTCCCTAATGTTCACCCCATTGGCGGCCCCTTTTCCCTGAGTGAAAACCCCTGTGTGGAGGCTTCATTTTTCACTCTCCCTTTGGGCCTCTGTTGTCAGAGAGCAACCCTTAGGAAGTCTTTATTTCTGCCAGGCTGGGCCTCTTGCGTTCCTCCACCCTCTCCCTCCGTTCTCATGGCTGTCCCCCCCACCTGCTGAGATCCTGATCCCAGCCGGGGCAGGGCTTCAGCGGGGGACAATTACTGCTGCTCCCTGGCTTTGATCATCTGACCACATGGAAGCATAACAGCTGACCACATGTTTCAACAGACAAGAAGAAGAGGCAGGGAAAATCAAGAAGAGTTCGAATGGGCTGAAGGAGAAGAAAAGAGATCCTCTTTATTTAGCTTGAGCCCACGGTTCCATTTCATTTAAAAAGCTTACGAAGAGTTGTAAGAATAGTAAGAATGGTGATATATGCTTGAGACAGCTCCTTTTGAGGGCATTTATTTATTTAGATGCCGACAAACATGCCTATTATTCACTATGTCTGGATGCTGCCACCAATAAAGTTCGTTTCAATTTGCTGGTCTTTTGTGTGTGCAGCAGTGAGAGAAAGGAGAGGCAATTTGAGGCAGCACTTGTAAAAGTGAGTGCTAAGTCTGTGGGTAGTATGGGCCAAATTGTCACTGAGCCAACTGGGCTGCTGTCTTGTTCTGGGCAGTATTGGCTTTTTCCCAACCCAGCCTCTGTTTCATTCACACTGCATCTCCATAAAGTCAGGGGTCTTTCATGTGGCCGACAGGGGCTGGCCCAATAAACTGGCCTGAAAACAAAGTCACAGTTTTATCAACATGATCTCATATTGAACTGCAAAGAGGAATATTGTGTAAAGCAAGTTTGAGCAGTGGATATGTCGACTAATACATTATGTAAGCAGTATATGCAAAGGAAAGTCCGCCATTACCAAGACACAAACAAATGAAGAGTGACAAGCCTGAGGAGCAGGGAAAAAGTTTGCTTTGGTCTGTTGGGGATGGCCTCTTGGAGTGTCCCAATTGTAAAGGAGATCACTTCACCGCGTTAAGGGTTCCACAAAGAGCCTCTTGAACAGCACTTAGTCCGAACCGCAAGGACAGACCTTGTTTTGACTGCACTGTCACCTTTTATTGTGAATGCTTCAGCAAACAGGCTGCTCCTGATTAAGGTATTGCTTGTGCAGTCCTTGTTAACGCTCTCTACACTTGTAGAAAGCTAAATGTATATGAATACACGAGAGGATGTATAGTGAGCAGATTACCGTTGCTTTGGTGGTGAGACAAGCAAAGCAAAGGAGACATACATCTTCCATTTCCCTGATGGGAATGTGATTAATGATGGCTGTCAGTGTCAATGAAGCCCATTGGACTATTAAGGACACCATCCAACATAGAGTCAAGTGGATCAGCAAAATACAACATTGGAGAGGACTGTGTTGATTGTTTAGGATGGATTAAAGGGGTACTTAAAGTGCTTTTCCAGATTTTTTAGGTTAGTATTAGACTGTATGTTCCTGTCATATCATTATTTATATTATATCCACTACTTTGTCAAATGACTTGAAAACTGGAGCAATAAGTCCGACCTATTATAGTATAGTAGTAGTATAGTATTATAGCATTATACAATTGTCTTCAGCGGGGTGTCAAATGGATGGATGGATGGGTTAAAAAAAATGTCGAATGACTCAAACATAAATCTAAGTCAAATCTAAGTCATTTGTCTATGACAAATGACCACCTGCATAAAGTCTGTTCAGTTTGAGCTGGCAGCTTTTCTATAAAGTTCTTCGACGCTGAGAGCAGCGGCGGCGTGTCTGGGTTCTCAAGGTCCTCCAGAGACGTCAGACTACGGAGAATACCACCATTAACTCAGGGAGGAGCACCCCTTTCAGCATCGTTGTTAAATCCAGACACCGGAGAACTTGAATTCAGTGTAATGTCCTGGTTCAGGTCTTGTGTTTATCCTCTCCCTCAGAGCGGAGTAAGTGGTGCTGCTCCCTGATTGGTTATGACTGATTCAATGTGCTGCATCTTTGTCAAACTCTTGGCGTGTGTTCAGTTGAGTTTGTGTGTATTTCTTTTTTTGATCAAACTGTTCTTTGGTGCAGCTTTAGGTAAAATAAACTAAGGCTGCACAATATTGGAAATGAGAGAATATTATGGATTTTGTCTTTCACCTAAAAATGCAATCTGCCAATTCCATACACACAGTATTGATGGAGAGTGTACACTTTTCTTCATATTGCGTAATGGCGGCAGTTAAAGCTTTGTGTTGCTTCAAAGTTTTCTCAAAAGGAGCTACAGAAGCGAAACTGTCATTCATGCTCATTTGCACGATTGCCTTTGGTTTGACCAGAGTCGGCTGTGGAGTTTGAGATTGTAAATACACAGCATAAAGCACCTTGAGGTTGTGCTGGAGATGGCTCTGGAGATTTTTCGTGTTTCTATTTGACGTATGCGACTTTTATTCATGACTTGCAAATAACTTGTATCTGTGATTGGTCCTTTCTTGTAAATCTGAAGAAGTCCCACATTCCGGAGGTAAAGTGTCTTTTGGGAACAAGTTACACTCTGCATTCGTCTCCATTTGTTGCTCCACTCTAGCGTGTGGCGGCACTAGGTCGCAGATTTGTCACAGCAGATTCTTCACAGTGCGTGAGCAAGAACTGTATACATAAATATATCAACATTATTTATTTTCAATATGGATGTTGAACTTACCAATATCACAATTATATTTATTTAATATATCGTGCAGCCCTAAAATAAACGTTCTAAATAAAACTATAATAATAATACTTAAAAATATATTCAATACTTCCATATCACATTAAATGGACTAATGAGAATCAAATAATGATAATTAGTTATAATTGCAAATGGACTATCTATCAATAATTCAAGCTGTTTGTTTTCAAAACATGTGTGTACTTAGTGCACTTGTGTAAAGGAAATGTGAAGTTTCAGTTTTATGCTTGCCTTGTTCTATTTTGACAGTAATGTCCTAGTTTGTGACCTGTTACTCACAATGGCACTAGAATTGTTTCTGATTCTGATTGTGATTGTGATGAACAAACACGTTGGTTAAATGATTGGCTTCATGTTGTTTTGTTGAATGTCTTTCACAAGAACAATCCGGCGTCCACATAATGGAAATATAAATATCTACATACATGGACGTTATAACACAGAACAAACAAGGTGTGATGTTTGTTGTGGACACACAAAACCATTAGATCTTTGTCTTGTAAAAGTGGTGTCTCTTTTTTCATCGTTGGTGACTCTTTAATGCGTTGAATCAAAACATTGTATAATACAACAAACTGTGAAACAACAAATAACGGATTTATTTTACACTGCAAAGTAATAAAGTTTATTAAAAACAATGTTTAAACAAAATGTAACATTATTTTTTAATCAGTGTTTTGTTTAGACATACACACTGGTTTAACACGCAAACACACTACAGGTGAGACAGCGAGTGAGGGGGCTTCCACCTCATAGGAACTTTGTTTTGGTGGCCATCAAAAATATCCTTAATTCATATATTTATTTGTATCATCTTTATCACAAGCTTTTTTTAACGTGTGAGCAGAAGATTGTTGACTTTAGCCTAAAATAAAGCCAGTGGTTCTGTGCATGATGATGATATTGAGGCTTCAAGTTTCCTCATTTCTCAGCACTGTAATACTGAATGTTATACAAGCAATGGATAAAATATATTTATTGTGTCAGAAGAATTGACTCCCATTTTTACAGCTCGGACCCTCCCACTTTCTCTCTGCTGTCAATCAGACTGGAAATAACTCTTTGAAAAAGAAAGCATGCATTCATGGCACTATACTTTTAATTAAAGCGGCAAAAAGAGAGGTCTTGTGGCAAGTAATCTGGTTAAACTCATCCAAATGGAACGTTTTTCTTTTTTGGAACAATGTTTGAAAAGGGGATTATTTATATTATACATAATATTAGATTTATCTTAGAATCAATCTATCGCAGCATTGGGAATGGTTTTATAGGATAAATGTCGAAACAAAAGGACAATATTGTATTTTCTACCCTACGGATCATTAAAGAGTATTTGATGTAATATAGATAAACATTTGTTTTGCGGCTGCTCTACAGTATATACTGTGTATATATACTATACTGTGTCATTGTTGCTGCTTTGGGTCTGCGCACAAATGCTTTTATGGCTGTATCAACCTGCTTCAATATATTTTGTATAGGGATATAAGTTGTTTTGTAAGAATTATTTCAATGTGTTTGTATTATGTTGTCCATATAAATGAACAATTCAAAGAAACAAAAACAAATCTAAGTCCATTTGTATATACTTTCATTGGTCAAAATACACTTTGTTACATTTAAAGAATAATTATGATATCCCTCACATTCGACTTATGCCACAATAATGATTCATGTTTGTTTGTTTGTGCAGTTACAAAACAATGGGTCCATTTGCCTTTCAGATGAATGGAGGGTTCATGCTCTTTTTCATAGGCTTGTATTTCAGCCGTGAATGCCTCCTTCCGCATGCCCTGTTCGTCCTGTCAGCAGCGATAGTAAAGTGCAGTAAGTCAGAGCGTTACACAGCCTCATAAACTACAGACAAGAGCCAATAATGAAAAGCATGAATGGAAACTTGGACTTCCTCTTGGCCCCTGCTCGGCTCTGGGGGCGTGGCCAGTCGTGGCAGTTTGACAGTAATGGCAGTGAACTAACATTTGACTGTGTTTGAA